AGGGTTTCAAACCATGCCTGTGACTCCTTTAGCAAATCATCACTGTACATACAAAATATATTATAAATAATGTGATATGAGATGGTAGGAATAATCTATTAAAACTATCAAGTCATTAATATGCTGATATTTATTGTACACTGTTTTCCATTTTTATTGTTGACACCAAAAGACTACTCTAGCAGTCATTTATCTGAGTTTTCCTCCTATCTTTTCAATAAAATTTCTTTTAAACTACTGTAGTGTATACTACACCATATGGTGGCATCTAGTAAACTAGTTTGAGGACAATGACACTGTCTCAGTACTCTTCTGATGCTTTTTACTTGGGAAAAGGAAGAAGCATAAGATCTCTATGGTTAGCAATATTCTAAACTGCATTACACCTCCAAAATGGCACAGATATCATAATTAGCATGAGGTTGTGCATCCTCCACATCTAAGCTGCAACATGACAGAGCGCTGTCTTCTCCATATAAAACCTGCAAAGTTATAGACAAACCAGCATCTCTTTCAGATCTACTTCACTTCTCTTATCAACTATGATAAAACTCTAGTTTAAAGCATTAGCTTTAAAAATAAACAAACAAAAAAAAGCCTAGAACTGTTAAAGTCTGTTTCTAAGACCTATGTGTGGTGGAATAACCTTGGCTGGCTGCCAGATGCCCACCAAGCTGCTCTCTCTCCTCCCCCTCAACAGGACATATAAAGATGGGGAGATGGCTTATGAAATAGTCATGGGCAAAACAGATTCAATGTGAGGAAGATTTATTGACAATTAAACAGATGTGGAGGGTGAGTAACAAACACACACACAAAAAAACACCCACCCTTCTCCCTCACATACCTTTTCAACTTTACTCCTTCACTCCTACCTTTACCTCTTTTTCTCCTCAAGAGCTACAGTGGGGATGGGGAATGGGCGTTGTGGTCAGTTCATAACAGTTCCTCTCTGCTGGTCCATCCTCTACCCACTTGTTCCCTGCCTCAGCGTGGGGTCCCTCCCATGGGATACAGTCCTTCAAGACCTGCTCCAACATGGGCCCTGTCCATGGGGTACAGTCCTTCAGGAACAGGTTGCTCCAGTGTGGGTCCCCCATAGGCCACGGTGGGATGTAGCTTCTGCCAGGAATCTGCTCTGGCTTGCGCTTTCCACAGACTGCAACTTCCTTCAGGGCATACCCACTGGCTGCAGCATGGGGTCATCCACAGGCTGCAGTGTGGATATCTGCTCTAATGTGGTCTTCCACAGGCTGCAGGGTGACAATCTGTTTCTCCATGGACTGCAGGGCAATCTCTGTTCCAGTGCCTGGATTACCTCTTCCCCCCTCCTTCTTCACTGACCTTGGTGTCTTCAGGGCTGTTTCTTTCACCTTTTTCTTATTCTCTCCCAGCTGCTGTTGCAGAGCATTTTGTACCCTTTCTTAAACACATACACAGAGGTGCCACCAGCATTGTTGATGGGTTCAGCTTTGGCCAGTGGTGGGTCCAGCTTGGAGCTGGCTGAAAGTGGTTCTGACATGCAGGCAGCCCCTGGTGTCTTCTCACAGAGGACACCCCTGCAGCTCCCCCTTGCCCCCCCTGCTACCAAGATCTGGACATGTAAACCCAATGCACCATGCTACTGGACCAAATCTTATTGTAAAAGACGACTCTGCACATGAAAAATATTCATGTTGTGTGTTACCTTCAGAAACAGATACTGAACAAATCCAGTAACTTTCCTTCTCCTGTTCCCAATATTTCTTGTTTATAACTCTCTGCAGCCTGTCCTTTATGAGTGCGTGCTCTTAGGGTTGTCCTTGATGTGTTTTGGGCTGCAAGTAGCATAAATAACATGAACTGACTTAAATCCCATCAGATCTGTGATAACTGACAACTGTATAATTTGTGTTGGATGAGTGGATGAAAACTTTGCTTGGCCTATGTGTAGTTTTATCATTTTATACAAAAAGCCACGTTCTGTAACTAGTATTGCAAAGTAAGAATTTACTTGAAAATTACTATTTCCACATAAAACTTTAGTACTTAATTATGATAGGTAGCCCTGATAATGTCAGTAGAAGTGCTGATGTTGAAACAGATACGTTTGTCCATGAGCTTTGCTAAATTAAAGTGTGTCTTTACTTGAATATAACTGTTATTTTTTTTAAACTTTGAATACATTGGTTTTGTATTTATCCATGTTTTCCATTTCCTTCCAAAATAGTCATTGTCTTTCCTCTTCTGCATCTGTTTTCCTGTAGAAAGCTTGGAATTATGGGTTCATTGTAAACCACTTTTCCTTCTCAGTAACTCAGTGTCTCTCTTAGTTATGCGGGTTCTGGTGAACTGCCAGCTTCTCACCATGTTCTGCAGGACTGTGTGGCGATTATATGGTGCACTCTGCTGTGCTATTTGTTTACTGGTAAGGAGCGCAGGTAGAAATTCCAGTGCTGATGTGCAGCATATCTGTGTGAGAGTGTCTCCTTGAGGTGGCTGGATTGAAGTTCTGAAATGAACCTGCATGAATTCGTTAGGTAATGTTATTTGCTGTGACCCTTTTGTTTCAAATGCAACACGCATGAAGAGACGTGCACAGAGCGCTCTGCTTGCACCTTCCATTTCCCACTTGGAGAGTAGAAAGGAGAAGACCACATGGGGTTCATATTGTTCAGTAATATACTGAACGAGCCTTGGATATATTAAGAGTAGTAGATAACGACCTGAAAGGAATACTGCCTGGCTAATTTGTGTTTTGCGTTTTGTGGCAAAAAGGCGTATGTTGCCAGCTGTGTGTGTAACAAGTGTAACCTGGGTATAAGAGTTACACTGAGATCATGATATTAGGTATTTTCGCTTAAATCCATGGTCCTGAAGTTGATTAAACCTGGGTTAAAACTGTGTAGCAGTCGTCAATCCAGGATTACAACAAAAGCAAACTTTGCCACACACAGTTGCAGAAGAAAATCTTGATTTAAGACTAGGCAGCATAAGGAATTCTAGGAAAAAGTTTCAAGAGGATTTCAAGAGGTTTGGCAGTTTTCCTTTTCTCCATCTCCCACTTCAGTCTAGAATTTCTAAGTGATCTCTTGAACAGGTAGTTGGCAGTATTCTGTTGGTGCAAATGCAAATGAAACGATTGGTTTACATTAGTGTGTTCCTAAACTTGTCCCCTGCCCCTTTCTTGCCCACCATGTTTTCAATTCAAGCTAATTTATAAACTCAGCTTAATACAATCAATCTGTTTCAGTGCTTCCACTGTACTTTGTTGGGGTCAAGAATGAGCAGCGAGGGAAGAGAGGGTGGTTTGTAATCAGTACTGTTGAAAAATGTAAAAAATAGTCTTTTTTAGCAAGTACGTAGCTTGAGTATTAGGAGATTTGTTAACTCTTGACTGTGGTAAGTTGATTTGCTTAATAAAAGGAGAAATTCAGTACTTGGATTTCTATTAACTACCTGACATACCAGAACTGGATTTCTTAATTATCCTTCATGACGATGGTATAAAAAATATTACAAAAGTTTTAGCCAAAATATAGAATTTGTATATCAAAGGAAGCTGCACAAATATGTATTGAAATGCAGACTGGCAAAATGGCAATTATAATAAAACCAGGCTTCACGTCATAGCCTTTTAGATGAAAGTGAAATGCCTTGCACACAAGTGGAAAACTGCTAGCTAAATTTTCAAAATGAAGAGCTAATTTCGCAAAACTGGTGGACCTTTATTAGACAACTGCATTATAGTGGGTTGGCCAGTTAAGTCGCTAGCGTGTATTGGAAGAACACGAAAAGTTAACCTAAATCTTGTATGAAGCGCTTACAATAAGGAATTAAGTTCTTCTGCAGAAAATGAAATATTTAATAGTTTCTGTACTTCTGCATTTTATCATAAAAGTGAAACAGGAACAGAATTAAGCCCATGCTGGTTTAGTTAAATATGCAAGTGCTGAATTATATATTGGTGTTAAATTCATTGGGTTAAACGGTGCCTCTGATCTTCTTTAAGGACCTAAAATCATGCCTCCTCTCAAATGGCAGCTGTAGGTCTAGACTATTTCTCAGTATGGACACATGACTCTTCTGTAGGCTTTGCCTGATGATTTCCACATCCTGAGTAATTATTTCAACCTAGCTTAGTTGCAGTACTTTTTTTGGTGGTAATGAGTGTGATAATTTTCTTAAAGCAAGATGTTAATGCCTAGCATTCTAGAGATTTTTCTTGGATGATAAACAAGCCTCGGTGCTAATAAGACATTCTGTTTTCTGCACCTATGAAAGGTGTCTACTTTAAAATGTTTATACAGATCTTTTCCATTTCAGTCTAGTCTACTCTCTGTTGAACCCCAAGTTCTGAACTTGAGTTTGTCCTTTTTATTCTCTTGAGAAAACTATTGTTTAAGCCTTTGATTTATATGTTCTCAGCTCTTTCTTCAACCATGAGTCTAAGTATGTTACTGTCTTAGAATTGTTCCCCCGTGTGTCTTGCAGAGGAGAGGAGGGAGAGGACCTTGCTTATTTATTCCTATGTCTTTCTTGCTTGCTTTCCCTTGTTTAATGTGAAGGTAGTCACAGTATTAATACAGGTGTGTTCTTCCTCTATACAACTTGCCTTATTAATTTGGAATTTATTACATACCAGTTTCTTGTATTACATAGTTGGACGTCAGTCATGACATACTGCTGGCACGTATGTGTGTGTCTGTAATAGCGCTCGATGTCACTAATAAATGTTTGCTTGAATCCATTCTATAACAACAAATTGTCAATGGGAATACATTTGCTTTAGAGAAAAGGGATTAATTTTCTATGACTAAGGCAAATTCTTTATAGGATTGAAATAAAAAGGTGCTTGACCTTGGTGGAAAGAGTACGTCATCAGAGAATAAGGTTACTTCAGCAATAAATGAGAATTAGCTTCTTTTTACTCACAAGTTATTGACAGGAAGATATTAAAACATCCTTTCAAAGTATTTGTCCTAACAAGCTGTCTTTGAAGTTGTTTGATATACCTTAAGTTGCGCAAGCATAATCAGACTTCTTTTTTTTCCCCCCCAGTCGGTGTTATCCGCTGTCCAATTTGTGGTCAGGAATGTGCAGAGAGACACATCATAGATAACTTTTTTGTGAAGGATACCACAGAGGTTCCCAGTAGCACAGTAGAGAAATCAAATCAGGTAAGTGCATTAACATGTAATCAAGTTAACACCTTTTGGATGTGTATGCATATCCTTGGCTTCTTGCTGTGTGGCCTTTTTGCTGTTCATATGCAGAAAAAGACTTCAAACATTTAGTCATCACATGGCATAGCTACTCTAGAAAATCAGTTAAAACCGATGAAAATGCATGTAAAGAAGGTGGTTGTCTTTTTCTAAACTATTTTTAATTGTTGATATAAAATTTCATCATGATAGCAGAAGATAGAAGTAAGGAATAGGCATTAGAATGCGAACTTCTGTACTTTGGACAGGGTGCTGGAAGCACTCTGTGAAGCAGAGACCCAAACAACACTATGTCAAGAGATCTCAATGTAAAATGGAATCTTTTACTTTATTTTTCTTATCTCAGCACTGATGAAATATGGCATTAAATGCCTGCAGTGCAGTTACCAAGCAAGAGACTTAAACTTCTAATTGAGGAAGGTGGTATGTTGTAGGGGCTTCTTGTCTGTTTTTCTTACGTAGGCTGCTGCTTCTTCCTTTTGCAATGAAATAACAACCATCTCATAAAACCAAAACCTCCTTATCTGGAAGAATGGTAATACTGGGGTTTTCTTCTCCTGATAGTTTTTCAGGAGGAAAGTACTAGTGCAGAAGCAGTACCAAATGAATAATCACATCTGTGTAGGACCACAGTTTAGCAATCTCTGGTATCAAAATATTGCATGTCTTCATTTTTAGCTAGTAAGAGAGTATCTCTAGTATCTCTTAACTCATAAACTTTTTATTAAACTCCAGGAACTTACTGTAAATAAATCAGCCTCTTTATATGTTGCTGCATTCTTCATAATAACAGTACAAAAAGGTTACTATGTCAATATGGCTTGCATTTTAAATCACCCTCTAACATTTGGATGGTGGTCTCCTTTTGTTTTAAAAAGGTGTCTTTTTTGCATTCCTGTTTTAGGGACCTGTATCACTGGCTCTTGATACATTTGTTTTGGGAGTAGCTTCTTGGAGATCTCTTATTATGTAGTCTATCTGTTTCAAAGCTTAGCTGAAATTTGTGCTTACATGTATGAATGGGTATGTCTCTCAGGAATGGATGAAAGTACCCAGCCAGGTTTGTGATACCAGCTCACTTACTATTAAAGGCATAAATGTTGGTATCATCTCTGAGGATGAGGAATTAATTTGGGTCTCAAAAAACATTAAACTGTGTTCAGCTTATAAGGACTTTTGCATACATAAATAAACTGGATTTCTGAGAAATGATAGACCTTACCAGAAACTGAAATTTAGTTGGGAGTCTCTGGAAGTATGAGCAGTGTTCTCTTAACATAGAACAGTGTGAAGTTTAGGGTTTTTTTGGTTTTTTGTTTGTTTCCTCGTTGGGTGTTGCAGGGAAGCATCTTGAGTTTTGCACATAGTTGTGAGATTTACACAAAGTCTCTCAATACTCTACCAGCAAGACTGAGAAAATGAATAGTCCCTGTTGCACTGAAAATTTTGTCATAAATTTTTTACTGACTTTAAAATTAGGAAGAGAAACAAGATACCAAAAAACTTTGTTATGCAGAAGCAATCCTGAATATTTTTTTGGACCTGTGCCATAACCTCTGCTTAGTTATATAACAAGTTCTCTAAGATATTGCTTTGGGGAGTAGTGATAGAAGTAGATTTATTTTTCCTGGGTTTAATGACAAAGTCTGTTTGTTTGTTTGTTTTGTTGCCTCCCCATGCCCTCTTTC